GCAGCTCACGCGAAATTTCGGCAGAGATTGACAACGAAAGCGACTTTGTAGGGTATACGAAATGGAGGAACCAAGTCTTCAGTAGGGTATCATGGAGAGAGACCTTTGGAAAAGGTTATAAAAAAACATTTTTGTAATCTTTATTTTATTTTTATTATTTTTCGTAACAATAATTTTCATATTTAGATATATTTTTGTTCTTATATTTTAGTTAAGTATGAATTGATTGACAGATTGATTAGCAGGGTGTAGACGACATGATTGATGATTTCTAAATGATGATGAATGATTTCTAAAATGGATTTTGTCAGTTTAATTGAAGGATTGACTCTGGGCTGCTGAGCTGATTGATTGATAAGTGATGATTGTGTGATTGACTGAGTCACTAATAGACTAATTGATTAATTCTTTAGAATGACATAGCTGATTGAGTTGATCAACTTTTTGAATGATAGAATCTCTGTTTAATAGAGTTACACAATTTTTGATTGAGTGATTGATGAAACACAGGCATGTTTACTGTCTAGAATTATTGATGATTGGCTTGCTAACTGACTGACTCATATACAATTGTTGATTAATAGCTGATTGATTATATCTTGATGTATTAGGAATATGATTGATTAACAAGTTGATTAGTATCGATCAGAAAGATGGAATAAGCGATTGATGGCTTGATGGGCATGGGACATGGTTACTGACTGACTGACTGATTTCTCTGTCTTACTGATTGATTGATCAAATGGTTAATTGTTCAAGTTATTGATTTGAAGTCAAGAGACATGATTTTAATATTTAATGTTGTTAGAATTTAAGTGCTTTACTTAATACTACAATATATTGAATGTCTAGAAATGGAATATAGTATGATATAACTTCTGATATGTCACGTCATATAAATGCACATTATATGTACTTTCATTGATTAGGTAATATCTGATATAAAACAACCCTCGCTAGTTACTGGATAAATCATTTAATCGAATATCAAGTTTGTGTAGAGCTTTTTGCGATGCTCGTAAAATCGACTTTAGTTCACAGTTCGCATATTAAGTTAGAGCTACTTCAACTCTTTACAGCTGCTGCGCTCTCTCTCACACTCACTAACTCTCTATCTCTCACTCTTTCTAACTCGCCATTTTGATGTATGTCTACCTCTAGCATTTACCGTGAAGCATTTCTCTATTTTGGCCAATTTGAGCAACTGCGCGTGTATGTGTGTGTGTGTGTGTGTGTGGGACAGCCAATGCTCGTGTTCGTAATCCACGTGGATTATGTCAAAATTGGTATATCATAAAAACGTCGCGTACGTGAGCGGCATGGACAAAGCTGTCAAGAGGGGAAGAGTGAGAGAGAGGGGAGATGGGTTGAGGTGAGATAAAGAGTGAGCTCTATACAGAGTGAGAAGGGGAGAGAGAGAGAGGGAGAGAACGAGCGTGCGTTAGAGAAGGGTAGCCGAAACCGAAACCGAAACCGAAGCCATTAACTTTGCCTTTTGGCATTGCTGACACTCCAACCTTTTGACCAAGTGATTAATTTGTATGCGCCAGGCGCTGACTTTTGCGGTCCCTGGGACAAAGGCCAAGAGTGTTTGGCATGTAGCGGAAATGCGCGCCCGGGGACAGACCAGACGGACAGACGGACAGCAGTCGGCAGCAGCTCGCACACGCATTGTGCCAGTGTTGGTAAGTGCTTTGAATATGCAGTTGTTGCGCGAGGAGTAAAAACTTTGTGCCTCACCGAAAAACTTTTGCCCTCCACACATACACACACTCACACACACTCTATAGAGCAGGCCTGCGCCTGGCTTATGGCCAACAACTTGTAAAGCGGCACAAAAACTTCAAATATATTTTCTTTTGCTTTTCTTTTACTCTCGCTCCTCTGCAACTTGTAAAGAACGAAATAAAATTCATGACGCGACAATTGCTAAGCACAAGAAGCGAATAAAGAAAAAAATAAGAGTGAGAGACAGACATAGAGATAGAGGGAGAGAGATAGAGAAACTCACATCCCACTCGCAAGTTTCGTGTCAAGATTTCATTAAACTTTCGTCCAGACAGCAAAGCTTGACCAATCTCCATAAACTCAAAGAAAAGCCGACACACACATACACACACACACACACACACACAAACGTGGCTCATTAATTGAGCTGTTCGCTCTATTAGGCAAAAGGCCAAGCCCGAAGCCAGCTAAACATTGCGCATAAATATAAATACTGCATAATGTCGAAAGGATTTAAAGAGGGAAGACATCCGGCGTTTCTATTTTTTTTTTTTTTTTTTTTTTTTTTTTTTTTTTTTTTTTTTTTTTTGTAAATACGATTTGCATAGTCTAATGAGTTTAACAAGGACTTTAACTGGTAGTTAGAGAGTGAATTGATGAGTTTAAAAAAAATGCAAATCTGCATTTATTGTGAGTTTTTAGATATATGTATCTATCTTTAATTTTAGAGCTATGTATTTCGAATTCTCTATTTAACTAAGTGTGTTTTCACATCTATTTTATCCTTTATTTTCATATATACATAGGCTTCATTATTTTCTTGTGTTTTCTTTGTATCAATACATTAATTTATTTTTATTTTTACTCATTATTTTTATTTTTATTTTTATTTTTTTTTAATTTGGTTTTTTATGATTCTATCTATGACTGTATGTATTTTTATCTCTCTAATTATATATCTATATGCTTTTTAATCTCTTAGCATCTTACCTATTGTCTTTGTTCTAATCTGTTTATCTAGATTTCTATCTATAAAACAATTTATTGGTTTATTTTTATTTTCCATATTAATCTATAACTTCAAACTGATATATATTATTTTTCCAAGAGCTCAAGAAGAACGATCAACTATTGTATTATCATTTGTAAGTAATATTACAGCACATAAAAGTTTGATGTATCAAGCGTGCCAGTCCTTTTTCGCCCACTGTAACTCCTATTTATATAACTCCTACATAGCTGTTGCTATAAAACCAAATTTATTTCGTATTGTCTTAGAGCTACCAATATCGTCAATCCTATCATGAGGAATTCTCCACAAGTAATGCAATATTTTGCCTCCCACATTTAAATAAATGGCGACAAATCAGGAATATGTATATTTATATCTATAAAATGCCAGAGTAAACTCCATACTCACCCTTTCTCAACTGCACAATTTGTATCTTTTTGATATGAGCCATGTCACCCCATTTCCACCAATATACATGTATATAGATCCTGTTCGAATTAGAGTAGGGCATACATGGAGAGAGTCTGGCCCAGAGTCAGTTAGCTGTTTCAGTTTCCTAGCAGGAAAAAAGTGTTTCCTCTTTCAATTTCTTAGAGCCCGCCATTAGCTGTTCCCCTAGCCAGAGTATCTGTATCTGTATCTGTATATCTTGAACTCTAGCTATTGCCTGTTACTGTAACTGTAAATGTAGCTGCGGCTGTGGCTGTATCCCTTTTTCTTTTTATTGTATTACCGCGAGTGTTATGCTAATTTCCGTTGCCGGGACCAAACAGCGGGAATTGCCGAGTGCAGAGTCTGCGGGCGTCGCGTCGCATCGCTTCGTCTTCGTTCTGGGTCGGAAATGAAATTTAACTGAATTTGCATTGGAATTCGATTAAATCGTTTATGCAAACATTTCGTTTCATTTCATTTGCGGGCTTTTCGCTTCAGACTCGTTTCAAATGTGCGAATCCTTTTGCCCAACCGCACCACCCGCCCCACCCACACAATGCCAGCTCTCCTTCGATGCCCTTCCTCTGCAGCCCCGTAAATGCCTCGAGAGCTGATTTTGGCAAACAATCTAATTTGCATAATACTCATATGTTCGGCCTCTTTGCGAGCTCTGCCCGGCTCAGCGCGCGTTTAATGCTGTGGAAATGTATCTTAGAGCTTGTTATTTATGAATTTATTTCATTTACCATGTAAATGCATCAAGGTAATCGAGTATACACCTCGACCTGCCCCTGCCCCTTCCCTACCCCTGCTGTCAAATATTTGCATAAAAATATGAAATTTTTACTGCCAGAAGAAAGTTTACAATTTAAGCACGCGCTGAAGAAGATATTGAAAATATGTACGATTTCACAGCTGATAAATGTGAATTCCATTCAATTGAGTGGAAAACAGTTGACAGAATGTCAGAGCGATTGAAAGTGTTGAAGAAGCATATTTTATAAGCCAGAAGTTGGGGAAGAACTCTTACTGTCAAGACTGATATGAGTACTCAAAGAAATTTATGCTTATAAATAATTTTAATATTTCATTAGCTAAGCAAGAAAATAATAATTTAATAGACACAGAGTGGGCAAAAGCTACATATGTGGTTCGGAGTTGCGTCAACTGCGACCTCCGCTAATCGTGTTCATATCAGAGCTTCTGTGGGTTTAAGGTATTTAGTAGTCGAGCATTCATACTTTAAAGTTAAAGTTTTCTCTACTTCAGTACACAGTTAAATACATAAATTGTTGTCCATATACGTCGAAACCATCTGGCAACGCTGTGTCTTTTGGCAGAGATAGACACCATACGCCATACAGATGCCATACAGATATTATATTCAAAAACCGATGTCAACAAATCTGCTTGAACCAAATAAAAAGAAACAATTTGTTTTCCCTGATTAAGAAGAAGAAAGAATAATTGGTACGTCGCCTATGGGCCACCTACTAGTGTTGCCAGATGGGTCTGTCGAATATGGACAGCCCACATGCATATTCACATACTTATGTATGCCTGTAGTGTTAAGTGTAAGTACAGGTATCTTCTAGTCGAGCATCGCATTTCTCCTCGTTTTGCTTCATTATTCTGCAATTTGATAAAAAATCCGAAACTAATCTATAAATGTGATAGATTGTTCAATGTAAACCTGAATATGGAACAGCATTAGGCGTAATATGTGATGTTTTAGGTCAATTTACACAATTTTAATCTAGAACGAATGCAATTAGGCATGAATAATCGATCAACGGCAGATTCGAACTGTTTGTAAAGTAAAAAAGTAATTTTCCTTCAGTTCTTGCAGAATGGTCAGGTTATCTTATACGTTGTTTGGGATTGTGTTTCTGGCACTGGCCGCCAGGGAACTGAGTTTCGCGGGATCCCTGAATATGAAACTCATTAAAGCCGTACTTCAGGGCAATTCAACAGCCAGTGCCGTCTTTTCGCCTCATATCTTAACAAACACCATGAGAGAATTTGCTAAATGGACAGCCGGCAACACAGCTGCTCAGATAAATAAAGTTATGCTGTTCAAAACAAACAATATGCAACGTGCCGCCAAAAAAACCGATATCAATACTGACTATACTGACGAAATTTTCGAAAGTTCTGAAAATTTCGAACCTACAAATACCGACGAAGACTACAGAACGAACTGTGAAGATGTTAGTTCCCTGAAGGACATCCAGTTTCGTTCAATGCCAGATGTTATTCGCATTAAAAGTACTTGGTTTGTCGCTAAAGGTGTTATACCTGCTGCGGGAACTTCTGCGCAAGTACTTGACTTTAAGGCTTCCAAAAAGGCTTTACAAGTCTTGAATAAGTGGACAGCGCAAACAACCAACAACAGAATAAAGAATTTCATGAAAAAAACTACTCCAGATATGAAAATAGTCGTGATCACGGCGGCCCACTATGAAACAGAGTGGCAATATAGATTCAATCCGAAGCTTACGAAGAAGGTGAACTTCTACACGAGCCCAACTAAAACTACTCCCGTCGATATGATGAGTTTAGAGGGTAAATTTTTGTACAAATATATCAAGGCAGTTGACGCCGACGTCCTGCAGATGCCCTTTAAAAAGAACAATTTGAAGATGACGATTCTAGTGCCGAAGAAAGCTAATGGCATTGGCACTCTCATCCAGAAGCTGACGAAGCTCCACATGAGGAATCTGAGACTGAGGGGAAAAGCAAAAACAGTCAGTGTCCAGCTTCCCAAGTTCAAAATCGACTTTGAAGTTGACTTGAAGAAACCGATGCAGAACCTGGGCATACGCGACTTGTTCAAAAAGGCGAATTTTTCACAGCTGGCCACTTATAAGGGGGTACTGAAAGTGGATCATATAATACAGAGAGTCGTACTGGATGTGAATGAACGGGGCGCCTTAATGGCTGTTGCTGCAAGTGTGTACTTCAATTTACAACAACAACAAGCTCAAATCATTTCTATGAAATAATTTTTCATTTTATCTTCCAGGATCATCCCCGAAACGTGAGAAATTTATAGTGGACCGTCCGTTTGTGTTTCTTCTCCGGCAAGGCAACGATGTCTTTTTCGCTGGACGTGTCAACTTCGCGCCTAAATAGGAACTTGTCGAAATGAAGTGCTATCGAAGAGAGCGGTAGGAGCACTTGGCTCCCTGAACCTTGTACGAACTTTATGTCTTACCAAAATAAATTTAAAGTTTCGAAACCGATCGTTTATCTCAAGTCCAAGCAGCTGATCGATTAATGAAATTTAGCATTTTAGAATTTAGATTAAATAATGATACGCTCATTGCATGCATTTATACCAATGAAAATGGGAAATCGGGTGTTTGTTATGTTTATAAATATGTGGGCATTTAAATTTATTTTTAGATATCTAAATTGCAATCAATCTTAGTTTTAGATTTGTCGCTTGCTTCAATTATCTTCTGGTGGAGTCGTGGAGGTCGTCGTTAGCTGAAATACGATTCATTTAGGCTATCTCGAGTTCGAATCCCGAGAAATTGAAAAATTTTTGAAATTATAAATTTCCAGAGCTAATTTTTTATTTTTTAAAATTATTTTTAACCCAGAAAAGTTAAACATTTTTATACACAGAATCCTTTGAGAATGGGGAAAACATAAAGTATATATTTCTTTTAAGAAATCGATAAAAACTTACGTTTTAACGTTATCGATTAGGAATCGAAAATATAACTTTTAGAACTAGAGTCTCACAATTTTTCTTATAGCTTCATCTAAGTCTGCTGCTGTATTGTTAGTTCAGCTTATTTTTCGATGTCTTAGTTATCGCCTTGAGTCTCTCTCCCTCTCTCTCTCTCTCTCTCTCTCTCTCTCTCTCTCTCCCTCTCTCCTTCTCTCTTACCAAAGCAGTTATAATTTTTTAAGCACACACTCTTCAAATCATTCCTCTTAGGAAAGTTCAGCTTATTATAGAATTTATGTTTACGTTCTTGGCATATTTAAAATTGAAAATGCCAAAGCAGTTGGCTTAGCTTCGATTTTGCAGCTTGCAGATTTTATTAAACTTCCATTTCAGTTGAAATGCCATTTGCCTGATGCTGTTTTTTCTTCTTCTTATTGTTTGTTGTCTCTGTCTCTCTCCCTCCTTCGCTCTCCCTGTGTCTTTTCTATTCTAAATGCCAAACACATTTGCGTACGATTCGCATTCGTTTTGTGCAGCTTCTTGGCGCTGCGAGTTCTATCTAAGCTCCCCAAATGGCAGTCAAATGCAAGCCGCAAAAGTCGCATAAGGATGCGCTGAAGGATGCAACCAGTGTGGCAATGTGGCACTGTGGCACTAGCATTATCTGTCTCTCCCTTTCTCTATCTCTTTCCTGCTCTCTGTAACCCATTTGCCGCAATGAGCTAGCAAAAAGTGGAGCTCAGCTCCAAGGGAATTCTCAGCTCTGTTTTATTGCGGTCCATGAAACAGTTCATAAATAAGCATATGCATATCAGCTTCTGTGCGTGTGTGTGTGTGTGTATGAGGTATGCCAGAAACCTATTTATATCAACAAAATTCGGTTAACCACACACACACACACACACACGCATCTACATAGTAGAGCGAGTTACAATTGCATTCATTCTGCTTTTGCTTGGCATTTGGCTCCATTTCGAGTCGAGCCACAAAATATGTTTCATAAAAGCATTTCAACTGAAAATTCAATAAAAAAATGCACAACCAGAGCTGCAGCTGTTTGCGAATGGTGAAAACTGTAGAGCATTAAATATTTAAGCACAATTTGAAAACTCTATTAACACCAAAGCGAATAACAGTGTCTGCCGAAAAGTTTGCGTTCACTTGTATAAATCATAAAAATTGAAATCAGAAGACAAAACTTGTCCATTATCAACTGCCCCTGCCGTCTCCTCACTGTCTCTCTCTCTCTCTCTCTCTCAATCTCACTCTGTGGCTCCCACGCTCTTTCTCTCTCTCTTTCAAACTTTGATGTATTTTACAACAAATTTAACTTTAATTTGGTAATTTGGCAAATGGCCCTCGGCTCTGTACGAATGAAAATGAATGACTGAATGAATATTCAATTTGTATTCGTTTAAAGTTGAAAATTCAATTCGCTGCGCAAATTTTCCTGCACAACTTTTGTTTTCTTAGGTAAAGTATAGACAGGAGCGATTATTTAAAATTAAATTAATCATTCTAATATTTTAAATTATTTTGTATTTATTTATATAATATTGCTATAAATTTTATATACGTTTTTTGATTTGGTTTAATAATAGATAAATAAAATATTCAAATAAAAATGTATATTGAATTAATGTATTAATTTTATTTGTATAATTTTTTTTTTTTAATGATTTGTTTTATTCATCTCTACTATATTTCTATAATTATTATGTATATCTTTTTTTGGTAAATCGATTTCTTTTCTTTTATTTGGTTTTCTCCTTCAGTTTTCGGTTTTTGTAT